TATTGTACATCGTAGGCATCCACACTGGAATACACAAACGAATGGGTCAAAAAAGTTTTGTTTTCTTTAAATAAATATTGTATGATGCAATCTATTGACAAAAAACAAAGAAGGACATGGTTGGAATTTACGTGGGAGACGCTGGCGTCTGTTTCAATTGTAGGGACTTTGCTATAAGTAGTTGCAGTTCAAAGCTATTAAACACGTGTATTTTATAGATGCAGAATATTTTGACGGTGTTTCAGATGTGGAGCTGTTTTTCTCATATCGAAGAACGAACTCTTATCTTACGTATGCGCTGTGTATCCCATTTTCAACCTGAAGATTTCCTTTTTAAAGCTAGCGTTAGGAAATAGGAAGAATGTCTGCCTTGGAAGTTTCCAAATGATAAGAAAATAAAATTAATTGGGAGTGTTTTTATTTTAGGAAAATCCAGGTTCACAGTGAAATAGATTAGGAGACCCAGATAAACAAAAGAGGAAATAAAAATCTCATTCCACCTTTTAGAAATAATCACTCATTTACACTTTGGCGTATATGAAATCAGGTCTACCCTTTTCTCTGTGACTAGCTGTGGCATATAATTTTTTAGATGTGCTTGTGCTATATATACTGCTTTTTTTAATTATATAATTCCATTTATTTATTTTTTTATTAAGTCATATACACATAGATCATGAATTACGCTGCTTTAGAATAAGCTCTTCAATGTAACAATATATTCTGAAAAGTTTTATGTCATTATCATTCTGCAACACATTTGCATTATGTGTTATATTGTATCGTCATTGAATTAACCCAAATTTTCCTAACATTTTTACCATTATAAACAATAGTGCGGTGGATCCCACTGCAGATAAATCTCTGGGTATAACCCAAAAGGCACAGAAAAATTAAAATGCTTTTGATATGCACTGCCAAATTGACCTTGCAGAATGATTCTGCCCTAAATGGAACCTGGTAAGATATGAGCATCTGTATTTTATCATTTCTCCTGTATTTTAAATGCGATCATAGGTACAAAATACCTAATATAATGCATGCATATAGTAGCATCATATAAAAGTGAATTTATTTCCTTTGTACTCTAGTCTTATTTAGGGCGAGTTTCATGGTTTACTCTTAAGTACATGTGGACCCATTTGATTTTGGGGGGACATTTAATTAATGTGAGGCAGCAAGAGTCTTAAATAAGTGAATTTCCTTATTGTTTTCATTGAATTACAGGAATAGACATAGCCTATTCCATTCCCAAATCTTTATGAAATGAGATTAAACCCTTTAAATGCAATTTGGACTAGAATATTTTCTTTCTCTTGTTAGCCAAATCCCATCAGGTTAGAAAAAGAAAGAGGATTTACTTACAGCTCTGAGTTGGCTCACCTACCACCAAGATTCTCATTTTCCTAAATCGAAGTAAAGTTTCCAAATATTTTGAATGATGGTCTCTCAGTCTCATGTGGATGCCTTAGCCATGGATAATGGCAATGCTGGACTCTATCAGAATAGGGCCCTAAAGACACAGCTAACTTGACATTGACTTTCGGAGATGAAAAAAGATTTTGTCTAGTCTTTATTTCATTTCATATCTTTGTTTACACACATCATTGCATAGAAAATTATAAGAAAGCTAAAAGGTATTAAAAATTATCTCACTATTCACAGATAACTCATTAATCCAGCATATATATATAAATCAAATCAAACAGATTATAAGCCTCATACCTATTATCTTTCTACCTTGAACTCTTTAAAATCTATGTAAAAATAAACGTGTATTAACATTAGTTGAGTAGTGCAAATCTCATAATCAGTTTCCCTTCCATACATGTCTGTGTTTTCTAACTTTATGTAGATAAAATTGTTATTTTATAGTAAAAAATGGAATTATTGATAAATGGGTATCAACAAAACTGAGCTAATATTAGCAAAAGTAGCAGCAGAAAAAAAGTAAGTAAAAATGTTAATCTATTTGGGCTCACATAAATTTCAAATATGTTTTCCCAGACATCTTGACGTTGGTTACAAGACAACATAATAAGAAAAAATAATTTTGCACATATGGTACAGTATTCATGTATTAAGTGGTCACAAAATTGGTTAGAAAAACCACCAGACATAAAAAGATAAGAAAGAAAAAAGAAAAAAAAAACCGAACAATTTCCCCAAAGCGTATTCTATTGGTCAATAATATACTAAAAATGCTTAACCACCTTAGTAATCAAATATGTGAAAATTAAAGACATGTTTTTGCAATTAAGGTAACAGCATTAAAAATAACAATCATGCTTGATTTTACAATTGGACCAAGATTTTTTTTTTTTAAATTTTCTCTATACATGTACATGTGTTTATTTGGTTTCCACTTTTTGCCTTCACAAAATTAAAGAGGCTTCAAATGTAATAACAATAACAATGTTTAAGATAAGGACTAGAAACAAAAACCTCGCAAAGAACAAATGAAGATAAATACATTCAGAAAAGAAATCAGATGATTGCTGCAACAAAATATTGAGCAATAATAATAATAATGCAAAAAAAGTAACATTCACATTGTCAGATTAAAGTATGTCTGTCTGAAAGAGGAGGAGGGAGGGGTGAGGGAAAGGAAAAAATAAGAAAAGAAAATAGTGACTAATTCTCACATAAATTGGATTTAATTTTGACCAAAGTACATTCTTTGAACAACAATTTTTAATTCAACTTGTTAATATGTTGTTTAGGATATTGCATCCTCATTTATAAGTGAAATATGTTTGTAATTTCCCTTTATAATAATATGTTTTTTCCCCATGTTAATATCAGGTATATCCAGATGAAGTAGAATGATTTTAAAGTATTTCTTCTTTTTCTATTGTCTATAAGATGTGGCATGATCTGTTTTTCGGAAAATTATCTTTTATTTTTACTTATAAAAATAAATATTCTCTATTTTCCGAGACTTAAAAAAAAAAAGAGAAGTTAACTGATGACTCTATATGGAACCCCAGAGTCAAAGCATTCTATGAAAAAAAATTCTTTAAAGAAGTAAGTCATTTTTAGGACAAGCCATCCTGATAGTAGCAAAAGAACATTGACTGCAAGTAGGAGGAGGATTGTGGCAAGGATTTCTAAAAGGAATCCTTGTAAACTAAAGAGATTGGAAGATCAAAGAATATCTATTTAAAATTCCTTCCACCTTAAACCCCTTTCAAACAGAAACAGACATCCATTACCAAGAAAGTATATTGTATTCTCTGAGTGTCTCAGGGAAGAATAAAGCCTAAAACTTTATTCAATGAAAACTTACGAGGAATTAAGGTCATCAGTCTTAAACAGATCAACATAAATATAAACACTTCACACAGAAACTAATGAAAAAACAGCAAGGGCGCCCACATCCTGCGGCACCAAAACAATGGTGTGATCTTTCCTGGGTGTGTATGTGTGTCTGTGAGATTTGAGATTTTTCTAGCAAGAGCGTGCTACTTCATAAGAATAAGCCCCAAACTTGACCTTGAAATTCAGCTTCTCATTTGTTTACTCGAAAGATGATATATTTCTGGTGTTTAAGAATGAAAAACAAATTCTCCCTTAGAATAGACAAGACAGCCTTGACGTTAATATTCTCTGTTTCCAAGTGCTGAGATTCTTTTAAAATGGCACTGCGGCCTCTGTGTTATGCATTTATGAATTATAAAAACAGAATCCCTACGCTTCCTTCTAGCAAGCGCTTTGGAAAGAAACAACCCCCCCCCCCCAACATTCTCAAGGTTCTTTTTGTTGTTGCCTGGTCTTGGTTTTGTGTCCTTTTATTCCTAAGACCCACTCATTCAAGAATATTTCCAAATCTGAGGACAGTGATAGAATCTTCCTTTAATAATAATACAACCGGAATGTGTTTATTCATGTCCCAGGGCTGTCATCATCTGTGGTTTCTGATGGACTTTTCATGCTACGGAAACAAAGCTAAACGATGATTTTTAACATCAGAAATGTCTACGGTTGAACGTTAAAGGATTTCCTCTATTGGAATTGGAATTCATCGCTTAGGGAGCATAATACCATTTGCTTGTTCATATTATCCTCTTTCCTAAGCTCCTTTGAAAGGCAGTGAAGATGAATTGGTGTTTTATAAAACCTATGAATTCTTAGAAGCACTTTGCCTCTTTTTAATTGGAGCCTCCATCCACTGCTATCGTTTTCATCTGGTTCAGCCTTTTCGTTTCATACAAATTATTTATATTGAATTCAATTAAGCTTATTATCTTCTTTGAATTATGACAAACATGCAGGATCTAATATTTTTCAATAAAACCCCTGTGATGGCTTTTTAACGCATTTACAGAGATTTTTCAGTTTATGGAGCTGAGGCACACGAAACGATTTTTCTGGCTAGTATTGCCATGCCCTGGACACAGAGTTCCCAAACATTTCAGCACACCGAGGTTACGTATGTGATTCTTTTAAATGGGTTCTCATGTTTCTAGAACCTGATAAAACGCTATTAATCTTTTGCAGCCACGTTTTAAAAAGTACTTCGTGTGCCGAAAAGAAGTTCAGAAATTCAAAGCAATTGTACGCGAAGCGATATTATCCTTTTTAAAAATTATTTTTATTTTTTTGGATATGATCCTTACATCCGCATAAATTTAATTTCTTTCAATAAAATGCTGGTAAATCTCCGCAGGAAATAAACTTTTAATAAAACTCGTGGCTCTGGGAGTCCACGAGTCGAAAATGTCTTTGCGTTGCGTGATTTGGGACAGTGACTGTTAGACATTATCTCCTGAGATGTTTGGTAGTATTTAGGAGAAAATTGGGGTGACCTCGGGATAATCTCTCCAGGTCCAGCTGCTTAAGTCTAAATCCTGTTTAATAACAGTTTGTGAAATCAGCACATCTCGGCACTCTGTCGTGCATTGCGAGGGATCAACGGCTGTGATGACAGGACAGTTAGATAGGTTTAACAGAAAGGGAATTCTAGAGACATCCGTGAGGGGTGACGAAACAGCAGATGTGAAGGTCGTATCCTTTATTAAAATCACCACAAATGCAAAAGCATCACCGAAATAGATGGATATCCCGTAGACATGCTTAGAAAATGATCGCGCATTTATTGGCTTTACATTTTATTACATAGCAGATTCCCGAAACATTAAACAGAACAAACATACCCGTGCAATTTTCACACGAAAAGCATCGTTTGCGCTTTCAATTGGTGTGTTTTCATTAAGACGGTTTAAAGGACTTGCTAAAGATGGTTTGGGATTTAGGTTTCCAGGCCACGTCCTGTGTCGTGTAAAATTTGGTAGCTCCGTAATGTCAAGTTCACATTTCAAGTGTATCTTGCCTTTTCTGTGGCCAGAGCCAGCCTGCGGATGTTGGATATGCAACCAGCCGCAGCTTCCTGGAGTTCCTGATCGGGGGACCCGACCATAGCCAGGAGCAGCTGTCACCCATAAAAGAGGAGGAGGAGGAGGAGAGAAACAAGAATAAAACCATTAATCCACAGACATAGAGTGAGGCTCTGAACATAATTTTTAAACAGCAAACATTGTGAAAAGCCACCAATTCCAGGCAGGCAAGTGCTTAATCAGCTGCAGGATTTCTCATGCAATTCTTACCTTTTTCATTTTCCGGCCCATTTCCCACTCTCCCTTTTCTTTGGGCATCTAACTGCTATGGGTTCTGCTTCTGAATTTTCCCTTGCATCTTTCCTGGCTTTCCCCCCTTCCCAGGGTAACCTGGTGTGAGAGAGAGATGGGGATTCACATCCCTGCGAATTCAAAGCTTCTGCTGATTTCCATCAAACAAGATGCCGTTTCTCCTTCTTGGGGGGCTCTCACAGCCGTTTACTCAAAGGTCTGTTGTCCCACTTGTATTTCCCCCTTTTAAACAAATATTTGGGATATTTTCTGCCCAATGTTAAGATTGTAAATGCTTAAAACTTATAATACAATATCCAATACACAGCTGATGCCAAATAAATATTGAATCCATGAATTAGAAGGTTTAAAATCTAGCAATGCTGGATCTAATGAATAGTTCTGCCAAAAGTTAATTTGAATCATAGACTTTTTTTTGATACCGTAGTATTTGAGGACAAATGTGGATATTACCAGCCAATGAAGATGATTTGATAAGCAAAAGAAATACGGGAAAGAGAAATAGTGTGAAGAGCCTTAAATATGCCAGGTGTAGGAGTTTGGCTTTTGTTCTGTACATAATAAAAAAGAGGTTATTATTTAGGCACTTTAATCAGGGAAGTGACATGGTTATATCTGCATTTTAGAAGGGTAAGTTTTTTTTTGGCTGGGGCTGGGTTTGAACCCACTACCTCCAGCATATGGGGCTGGTGCCCTACTCCTTTGAGCCACAGGCGCCACCCTTAGAAGGGTAAGTTTTACAGCCATTTATAGAATATGGACCACAGAGAAAAGCAGTCCATATTCTAGTGTGACTAAATTAATTTAGTTAAATCAATTAACTAACGTTATTATCATTACTATCATTATCATTAATTCACACTAGAGGTGGTAAGGATGGAATAAAATCTAAGGATCGTGAGGAAGGAAGGAATTCAAGGGGTATTTGGGGACTAAATACCTACTCAGTGCATGGCCCAAGAACACATCATGATTATCCAAATAGGAGGAAATTAAAATGGTAACTCACATCCTCAGCGCTTCTAACACAAACTCTGCCTCTCTCTCCTGACTTTATCTTTCATCTTCCCTTTTCTAAGAACTCCTTTCCATCATCATTGAAACACACCTTCTCCATGTTTTTAAGAAAAAACAGAAAGACATCACTTTGACTCTTTTTTGTCCCTCCATAGGCAAATTTCTTTAAAGAGCAGTTGTCTGGCCTCACGATTGACAGCCTTAAATTCCATCCAGCTGTAATCCCAGCTACTATGGAGGCTGAGGCAGGAGGATCACTGGAGTCCAGTAGTTTGAGGCTGCAGTGAGCTCTGATTACAATCCTGCATCTAGCTGGAGTGACCCTGTAAATAATTAAATACATTTTTTCTACCCAAACATGGGTTTCCCCCATGTATTTTCCTGTATTGATAACAGACGTCATCCCTTGATTGCTCATGCTGGAAATCGTCCTGCCTCACACTCCCTTCCTCATCTTCCCTCCATCCAACTCATAACTACATTCTTGCCTTTCAGCTGCCCACACATGTGTCAAAGCCATTCCCTTCTCTCCCCTGCCACGGTCATCACCCTGTAAAGACTGTCCTTGCACCCTGTCTTGTCTAATTGGCTATTCATACAGTATCTAGAGTAGCTTCCTAAGTTGTGGAATTCACCAACAAGAGGCAAATGACTGAGAGAAAAAAGGAAACAAGACGTGATCAGTCATCTGAGCTTCAAGAGAAAGAAATGGACTGTTCTGTGTGAGGGAAACAGGGCAGCGTGGGGGAGCTCGTGCCTTGTGAGTTTGGGACTGTTTGTCTCCAGCATTGCTGGACAACCTTGTAGGGTTGTGATTTGCTTGAACAGCCACGTGGTCTGAGCTGGGCGGGAAGGGAAGTAAAAACAGGCTACTAATAATTGGGATAATTGAGAAGAGAGACCTCTAGGGAGCAGGGAAACAGTTTTAGTAGATCAGAGCATAGGAAAAAAGGGCGAAAATAAACGTTCTAGTCTAAGAGTGAAATGTCTGGAGTTGAGGATTTTACAGATAATGTCACTCTGAGCATTGACAGGGTCCAGAGTGTGGCCCCTGGAATGTGGGTCAGCATATGATTGTTAGGCAATTTTATACAGATGCTCGCATGCACACACACTTATGGTCTAGACAGCGGACCCTCCATAGCTGACCATTCCCAGGTCTCCTTAGGCTGACCTAATTTGCAGAGATCAGCCGTGCACCACCTGTACGTATCGGCACAACAGGCCTCATTCCTTACGTTGACCACCTTGGTTGCCCAGTTTGTGATAGTCCCTTGGGTGGTCAACTTACAGAGGCTCTACTGTCTTCTCATTCTTTGTCTCTCTCTCTCTCTCTCTCTCTGCAGCAAGAAGAAATAATGAAGGAACAGTGGGCAGGAAAGACAGAGTAGCCACTTTCTTGGTTACCCCAACACGTGGCTTAGATGTTTTTGCACAGCAACCCACGCTTAAGTCCCTTTCTTAACTTGCAACCTGTAACTCATGATCCACTTGTAACTCACGATCAGTTCAGTATTTTTATTAATCCATTTGTTTATACCTTGCTTTACTATACAGAAACTTTTTAAAGCAGATGTAACTATATGAAGTTGAGACTATTTTTCTTAAACATCTATTTCACACAGTTCATCCAGCATTTATTTTTTTCCAGTTTTTGGCTGGGGCTGGGTTTGAACCTGCCACCTCTGGCATATGGGGCTGGCGCCTTACTCCTTTGAGCCACAGGCGACGCCCCATCCAGCATTTTTCATACACGCACAGCTTATGCACTGACATCCACTTTGCTCATGTCCGCCACTGTACCCTTTCTTACCCCCATGCACTGGGTGCTAACATAATCCTGGAGAATTCATTCGTCCACATCGTTCTTTAACGGTTCAATGTGAGCAGTCAAGGGAGCCTGATAGTAACACTTCTCTATTCCCAGCTGGGCCTAGCTTTTCCTCATGTCTGCTCTCCAATCTTTAAATTACTTCTCATACTGAAACCAAACATTCCAACCAATTTCTTGGTACTTTATATACTTAATCCCTTGAGGGTTCTTGCAAGTTATTAATGATTTCCTTTTACATGACTCATTTTGTCCCTTTTTCCCTTGAGTAGATGATTCATAAGGGTTTGTGGGTCCTCTCATTGGCTCCATTGTCTTATAAAACGTAGCACCAAAATTCTCCCTGAAAGTCTAAATCATTTTTGTGGATAATCTTACTACGTTAATTTTGTTACTATAGCCAGGCCATCACAAGGAATGTCAGTTGCCTGGAGACCCTTCTGGGCCCTGTATTCGAGGGCCTGCTGCTCCTCTAAAAGCTTGATTTCCACAAGCAACTGGGCTATGGAAATAATCTCATCTCTGATTGCCCAATTCAGGGTGGCCATAAATTCCGTGTGCGACTCTCTGGTCACCCTGTATTTGCTTTTCAGGTAACTGAAGGAAAAACATTTGCCAGCAACAGCAATTCCACCTACTGACTACCCCCAGGGCCGCCCTCCTTGTTTCCACTCTGGTCTCTAACACCCTTCACTGACAGATGTCATCAGTGTGTTGATTCTGAAGCCTTGGAAGAGGTGATGTGGAGTCCTACCTGCAAACCCCAGCTATCTGAGAAGGGAGCTAGACTAGTAGACCCTTGTGCCTTTGAGCTCCTTTCTGGAAAAGCCACTGCCAGACAGTAGTCATGAGTGTAGGTTTTGAGGCTACGACATCTTGGATGTGGGTCCTGCCTCTTCTGTGTACTGGGCCAATTATGGACTTGCTTAACCTACCTGCTCATGTGTGTGTGACAGAAACACCTTCCTCTGAGCAGCACTGTGAAGATGAATTCCACATACACCTGCAGTAAGTCAATGTCGGAACACCTGCATTCACAGCCTCTTCCCAGCCTTATGTCCTGTGGACTTCCCTCCCCTTCCTGCTCTGTCTGCTTATTTCCTAAGCCTTCCACATTCTACAATGTGTGAAAGAGATGAGTGGATGGAGAATTCGCACTGGTGAGGGCAGAGGATTGAAAAGAACAACAGAAGGGGAAGGAAAGGAAAAGGAGTAAAGAGGGAAGAGCTTCCAGCCAGTTTTGAAGAAAGAGTTTGAGGGGCTTGGAGTAGAAAGGTTATGTTAGGAGCACTCTGGGGTGAGAGAGACATCCTGAGTGTCAGAAGGATAAGGAGATTTAAGAAGTTAAGTGGTGTATGATGGCGCTATTTTCAAGGTAGTGTGGAACACAACTAGATTGAAATTATTTTCAATTGCTATTGGGCTGCAGGCTTTTGTCTCTCTGCCTGTGTTTCCATGCAGGACTTGACCTTGAGGCCGCCTGGCTGCCTATGGGTTATGCCTTTGAACTGCATAGCACGGTTCCCCAGAGGCAAAGCAAGAGTTGGGTGCGTGGTATTCATTCTCACAGTGATCATTTCACAGTTCTCAAGTCTGGATCTGGCATTTATTTCCTGAATAGTTTGGGAGGAAGGAGAAATTTTGGCCCTGTGGTCAGTCAAGCTCCAGGCCCCACCTCATCTCTGGTCAACCTCCCTGGGTACCAATGACCCAGGCTCCAGGTGGCACTGGCTGTTGCCACAGCACCCTTGGAAAAGAATCCTTGATGCGATGCCTGTCAAAACCAAACCTGGTTTGGTCCATTCCCTTCAGACCTAGTTGAGGTTCTTTGTTCCCCACTTGGGCTTTCCAAGAGTCAGTTGTGTTTATTCCCAAACTCTTGATGCCAGTTACATAATTTCACATCACTCATTGAACCATGAGTGTCAATGAACT